GAGGGTTTGGCTGATCCTCTGGGGCACAGGGGGTGACTCTTGGGGCTGGGCCTGTGCAGGGCTGAGGGTTGGACTGATGATCCTTGGGGGTCCCTTCCAGCTCAGCACATTCTGTGACTCCTCCATCCTCCTTTGGGCCTGATCACTGTAGGATGGGGCCATGGATGATTTCCCCTGGTTTCCAGCTGGAGCCAGCTGGCTTGGCAGGTATTGCTGGCCCAGCTTGGTGAGCCAGCCTGGCTTTGGCCTGGATTGGTGCCCCTGGTGTGCCTGGCACAGCCTCCAGAGCTCCAACAGGGCCGGGCAGCACCGTCAGCCAGAGGGGGCCAGGACAGACCTGGCCCTGTTCCCCAGGGATGTGAGCCCGAGTCTCCCCCACAGCTCAGCCCCAAGCAAAGGCTCAGGATTGCAGCTGATCCCAGCATATCCCAGCATCCCACCATCCAGTGCTCCAAGAGACCTGGCTCAGGTGCCAAGGAGATGCAGGTTGAGGGCACCAGAGCTGGTGCTGGCACTGACACATCAGCAGGCACTGACACATCCCCACCCTGGGGCCACACACAAAGGGCTCCTCCATTCTTGGGGTTTAAGGAATCCCATACATTTCCCTGAACATATTTAAATTCAGGAGTAAAAAGGAATGAATGACACTGTCCTGCCTTTTATGGTACAAGGGAAAGATATCCACTGCTGCTTCTTTAAATTATGAATCAGGCCATTATCTGGCAGACAAATAAGGAGGATTCAGCACATTAATTAACTGAGCATATCTGTGACCCAGATGCTTAAAGAGAGAGAGTAAATCACACTGGGAGTTTGGGTTATCTGGGCTGGAATAATTAAACACTGAAAATCAAGTTAAAACAATGTAACAGGGTCCGACTCTGGCTCGTGACCACAGATCCAGGGATGGTGCTGCCCAAATCCCTTGGGATGGGGCCTGGCTCTGCTCCCACAGGCTGGGGAGTTACATGTTGGACATCAAACAAACCCTCTGCTCCTTCACATCTCACCAGGGGCCATTTGCCAAAAGCTTTCACTGCCAGGAGGGTTCAGTGCAGCAGCCCCACAGCACCATCAGAGAGCCATGGGATGGGTTGGGCTGGAAGGGACCTTGAAAGGACATTTAGTCCAACCCCCTGCCATGGGCAGGGACACCTTCCACTAGCCCAGGTTGCTCCCACCTGGCCTTGGACTTTAAGCTTTAAGGTCCCTTCCAACCCAAACCATTCCAGGCTTCTGTGATTCTTTATTCATAGGAGAATTCAAGAAATCTGCAAGAACATGACATTTTTAAGAACTGGACATCAGTGTCAACTTGGGCTGAGAGAATTGGGATTGTTCAGCCTGGAGCAGAGAAACTTTGGGGTGACCTTGGCTGTGGCCTCCCAGTGCCTGAAGGGGCTACAAGAAGATGG